AGCTGGGAAGAGCCAAAAGCACAACTAAATAACAAATAGAGCAGTCAAAAAGTCTGAGGCAAAAGTCTCACCAGAGGAGCAGCCAAAGGGATGGATAAACTGCCAGTGGCTCCAGACACTAAAAAACAGTGGACTTCACCAATTAAAGGTGAATATTCATCCTGTTTTGCATCTCTGGAGAGGGATTGTGGTTCATACCAGGTATTGTTTGGCCAAACACCATCCCAGACTAAACTCAAAAGGCCAAATCTACCTTTAGACCTCAGCAGAGTTACACCAGTGATGTGACCCGGGCCCAAGGTTTCTGATCCAGAAAGAGCGATCTGGACAATGCCATCCTGTATCCAAGCTGATAGCTTGGAGTGTTCCCAAGATGGTCCCCCGGGGGAAGACAGCAGGGCAGTTGCTGCTGCTTTTATTTCTCTCAAAGGCAACATGCCAGCACTCAGAGTATCCACTGCCAAACAGACTTTGGTTTTAAAATAGAATCTTCCTTAGTAATAAGATGAGACTAAAAGGTACTCTTAATTTAACCATTAACACACACAGCAATCAAGTCTCTTAACAGAATTATGGAGAGCAACATGTGGTCAGAAGGTCTCTGCTGCTTCTCGTTACGCTGCTATGGGCGAAAGAGCCTTCTAATTTTAATTTTGTTTGTGACTGGGTTATCTTTGCTGATTAACTTGAGGGAAGCATTGATCAGCTATTCTCCAGTGTTATTGCTGTGTGAAGCTAATAGCAAAAGGAGGAGACGTACCTTGCACTCTGAAGGTGTCAAGAGTTGGTGTCAATCTGATTTCTGGAGGAAGGGCATTGTACATCTGTAGGTAAGAACACCTGGTCCCAGTGCCTGTGAGTTTCTCTCTGGACATTATCAGCTCCATAGTTCCTGATGGATGCAGCTGTCATGATGAGTCACTAAGCTAATCATCGCCAACCCACTGATAGCTTTGAAAATAAAGAACTGAGCTTTGAAGTGGCTCTGGTATTGGACAGGAGGCTAATGTAGCAAGCAGAACACTGGAAAAATGTGCTCCCATCAACCTGTGTGGCCTGGTAGATGAGTTACTGTGTTTTGGACTAGCTGGAGCTTCCCTATGACTTTCATTTTCCTCCCCAGGCATAGTGCATGGCAATAGTGCAGTCTGGATGTGATGAATATATAGATCACCATGATTAGGTTTGCATCTACCAAAAAGGGTTTCACCTCCTACCCAGTGCAAGATGGAGAAGGGCATTTACACTTGCTGTTTGGGTATCCCAGAGGCAACCAAGAACACAGTAGTATCCTAAGACTGTGTAACAGATAGGAGAGTAGACACTCTTTAAGGTAATGGCAATTTCAAGGAATCTCCCTCTTCCAACCATCACTTCCATCTTGCCTGGGTTTCATTTTAGCCAGCTATTTTTTCATGCAACTGCTTATCTCTTCTAGGCCTAGAGGTCTGGGTGATGGCACTGTGTACAGCTGACATGAAGAAGAAAAGAAGTACAGATGCGTATCACCATGCGTATTGCTGGAGGAGGCTACAGCATCTCATGGTTTCCCCAAGGGGACTAACATATATGTAAACAGGAGGGGAGACCAGCTTGCGCCTTGTGGGACAACATGGGTGAGCAGACACGAGGAGACACAGTTGCCCATCACAACCCTCTGAGTTCTCAAAGATGACTGAGCAAAGCCCATTTTGTGTGATTCCACAGTCAGTTTTGTGAGGTCGCTTAAGTCAGCCCTTCATGATCAGCAGTGTCAGTGGCTCTTGCCAGATCTAACAGCATTAGTGTAGTTGTACAGAATTAAATACTTTCTGATGGCTTGATCCTAGTCACAATACAATATAGCTGTCACACAGGGGATCTACATTCATTACTGAGCTTTCTGCACTAAGAGTGTTGCAAAGGCAATACAATTTTACTGTATGTGTGTGTGTTCACCTCTTCTTAAGCCGCTCCCTCTGTTTTACACTCTGAATAGCAATGATGGGTTATGGTGGGAGCAGCATTTAGACCTCTATCACCCTAATCAGCTGGAGAATGGATTGCTATGATGTGGGAGACAAAGTAATAAAAGGAGAATGGGAAGAATCCTGGGGTACCTCCAAAATAAAAAGTTCTTCAGGAGATCCCCAAGAATAATTTGATACAGGGAGCAAGCCCACTGCATTAAACTATTTTAAGTTGTGTGAAATGTCAGGCTTAGGCACTTTGACAGGATTTCTTTAAAATCTGCCACAGTAGACTTAAATACATCCGTTACATTACTCAGACTTTGGCAGTCAGGTCCAACGGCAGTAGCAATGAGGGAAAACCTCCTGTGCAGAAGAGGATGAAATTTAGAAGCATCTATTTCATTATGGTATTTTGGGGTGTGTTGCCAGTAAAAAAAGTGACTCAACTGTCAGTTCACAGATTTTTCCTTTAGTCATTCTGTGTATTGATGAGGATGTGTTTGCTATCTGTACAAATGTAGAATTTCACCTACAGTTCTCTCCAAATCAAGTGTTTGACTTATGATGTACAGTATAAGAGAAGTAAATCCACTTTGACTACACCTTCCCTTTTGAAAGGGAGTCTGCCCTCAGGAGTGTCAGCTGTAGGCTGATATTTGGAGGAAAACTCTTTCCTAACTGGGAGTTATTTTGGGATTGTGATGGGAATGGTGATGAGACAATGAAGACACCTTAGTTTGTTAAGAGTAAATTATATCTACTTCGCCAGAAATATTATCTGTAGTTTTTGAAGACTTGTATTATTTCAGAGTCTGTCCTCATAGCCTGATAACATTATATACAGGAATCCAATAAAACAAACAACTAAGAGGAAATCCCACACTAATTCTCAGAAGCCAACATACTGCTAGGCAGATGTATTGCTAGATATGAGCAAATATTGTTTTAAAAAAAATCCACACATCCCCATTCATATGTTTACATGAATTCACTTTGGCCATGAATTTTTTTTAAAGTAAGTAGAGGTTTTACTGAAAACATCCCTGGCTTACATGGGCCTATAAATCCACAACAGTCTGTTCAGTGAGGTGTACCTGTTGGGATTAGTACAGTAGGGCTGGGTTCAAATCCAAATGAAGGCTAGAGATCTAAAAGAAAAGCCATCTAGAACGCTGCAGGTGGATCTCTGGGTATATATGGACATGCACACTGGCTTTGCTTGCCTCTCAGTTTGTCCTACTTGCAACAAAGCTGTCACTGACTCCAGCTGTGCTCATATGGATGCGTGTAACGGGGCGTTTGCCCTGCACTGGCCCTTGAGGGCTACAAGGAAACAGCCAATTAGGGCAGTGGCTGCAGCCAATCAGGGCCCAGCTGGCCTATATCAAAGGTAGCTGCAGGCCAGACCAAGTGACTATGCTGCAGAAAGCCCAAAGGAGAGGACTGGACTGAACAGGGTTGCTAGGACTTGCAGGTCTGAGGCCCTGGGAAGAGGGTGAAGGAGCCAGAGGCAGGAGCCGAAGGTGCTGGGGCTGTGGGGAAGTAGCCTAGGGAATTGACACTGGTGGAAAAAGAAAGGTGGGGCAGTGGGAAGCTGTTGTTTACAGGGTCCCTAGGCTGGGACCCAGAATAGTGGGTGGGCTTGGGTTCTCTTCCCCCACTTGCTGCGGAAGAAGTGGCCAGGCTATAGACTGCCAAGTTGCTGTGAGGAGCAGCTAGACTGTTGTAGAAGGAGTCCCTGGAAGGGGGAACCTGGATTGTGACACAGCCAGAAGCAGTGAGACTGGAACTGCAGTGAGATGAGGATGGGAGAGCCACTACCACTGGAGGACATACCTACTGACCAGAACTAATTCATGAAACAGCCAGCAGGAGGTGCCAGTGTGGTGAGACAATGTGCATAACTTTTAAGCATATGAGTAGTGTGGCGGTTCAATGACAAGACAGCACAGAGCTTTTAGCAAGCAAACGGCTGGTCTGCTAACAGGCTTCTGCCTGTCAGCTTTCCACCTTCCCCTTTATTCTTTCTCTCCCCCCGCGCATTACATTCTCCAACAGATAAAAGGAATACACTGGCTTTGTTTAACATTTACCAGTTTCTATCTACCGCATTCCTTGCTCTCGGGCCTTGAGCCCAGTCCTAGGAGGCTTCCCACGGTTCATGTCATCTGGGCGAGATCCCAAGGTTGATGCCCTTGAAAGGAGCTGTGTGTGCATAGCTCCTATACAACACTCCGGGTGTGCCCTGAATGTTGCCAAGCACATGAACCTTGTATGAATCCTACAGAATAGTCCCATTTGACTCCATGGGGGACTACTCATTCTTTAAGTTACACACGTACTTGTGTGCTTTGCTGGACTGGGCTATGAGCCTTCCCAAGGGGTTCATCTATCACTTTTCCTGTGAAGTGCTGAGCACTCCTCTGCAGTCTTGAGTGCCTTCATTCTTACTGACTTCAATGGGAACTGATAGCACTTAGCCCCTTGCAGGATTGACCCCACAGTAGAGAGGGTTGACTAGTGCTGCATACATCTTTTTGGAGGAAGAACATCCTAACTGTGGCTGTATCTCCTAGCCAGCACCCTTTCAGGGAGCCTGTCATCTTTTTACCATGTTGCAGCTCTGCGACAGACTATTGGTGGACATATTGTATATCCCCACTGCCTTCCCCTTCATACAATCCTCCAAGCCCATTTCCAAGAGATCTTTGTCATTCTGCTTTCTTCCATGCCACACAATGGAGGGGAAGCATATGGCTCTTAGGAAGAGACTGTCATAGCCATCCCTTGATCAGAAGATGAATAGCTTCTACTACAAGGTGTTAAACTGGGGGCTTCTAGTGGGCTAGAACTAGGAATGAAGATTATCCAGGTTTGTGACTGAGGGGAAGGAGTCCATAAAGTCTAAAACAATGTCTTTAATTCTACGTAAAGCATTGCAGTTCACCTCTTATGACTCCTGGAACTGGACTAGGGACATTTTGTTAGCCAGAATAATTGAACAGATGCACACAAGTAAGTTGGTACTTATAAATTATAAGACCAATATGAAGATGCATGGGCATGATTTATTGATAGAGCATACACTATATAGTATCTTTGACTGTATTATTAAAACTGATCATAAAAAAATGAGGAGGGGGGAGATCCATGCAACTCTGGCAGCTCTGAGGGGAAGTTGTCTTGTCTGTGAAAAAATTTATAACTGAATACTGAGTATTTTATTTTTTTTTACACCTATCTGACAAAAAATATTATGGACACTTTCCTATTTCATGTCTACAGTATCTGTCACACTATGCAGACCTCAGAACTTGTACAGAAGATTTGAGATAAATCAGAGATGAGAAATACTTATTCCTGTTACATCACCTTGTCCATCTCTCTTACAGCGTAGTATTGCTCTCTGCAGATTATTTGTTAGTCATGCTTTGACCAGTCTATTCTAGAGATTAAAGCCTTAGAACAAACTAAAATGCAGCCTCCTTATTTCAAATAAACTAGGGCATAATCCAAAACCCATTGAAGTCAATGGGTACAGATTTTGGCCCTAAAAGTCCAATACCAAGTAACGTAAATAACTATTTCAAACTCCATCTGTATGTCCCACACTCCCAAAATATAGCTGCTTTCTTATCTGCTCCCACATCCCCAGAACAGCAGAAACTGGGAACTACAAACTAAAGGGAAGAGCCTGATTGTCCATTTAGTTTTACGCTAGTGCAACTGGAAAGGCTTCAATACAGTGCAGAATCAGGCCTTAAGTTTCCCAGGGTGTAACTGGGAGCATGCCTCCCAGCTTGGGTATATGGACATACACGAGCTGAGTTCAAGCTAGCACACTAAAACTAGCAGTGTGAACACCATGGCACGAGCAACAGCCCAACCCTCTCGGTCTGTACTCATGTGGCTAGCCTCTGCTGCAATGTCCATACTAGAAGCAACATAGTTCTGTGAACTAGGATCATCTTTCACTCTCTGTTCCCTTAGCAAAGGCAAAGCACTGCTCTGCCAGCAGAAGAGCTGCACTCCGATATGGCAGCATCAGAGGAGCTTCAAAGTCTCTGGGGTTTCCTTTCCTGGGAACCCACACAGGTAGTTAGGAATGCCTAACATGAGGGATAAAATATAGCAGCTCCTAAGTACACTAGATGTAGTATTAACTGCTCAACATGCAAAGGCCAACAGCCATGATGGCCTGAATCAGATAACATTTGTTCCAGAAGCAGGGAGTAGAAGGGCATCAGATCATTGGGTCTGGATCAGAATTGTGCCTCTGATCTCTCTGCCTAGCTGGTGGGTTGAACTGTGTAACTATAGGATATTTTCTGTGCTGGCCACACTCACTTAAACAACAACCACCAAAAAAACCCTAAAAGAACTACAATGGAGGGGTTCTTAACTTTGCCATTCCTAGAAGCAGCATGGCCTGTTGGAGGACTTCAATAGCTGAAAAGAGGGAAGTTCTCTGTGAAGTGTTCTTGGTGTACAACTGAATTTCTCCCTTTTTGACATTTTAAATTAATCATGACCTAGGTTTTAAGCCAGGAAGCATCCCAAATCTGCAATGCTGGTCCTAATTTGCATATAGATTTACATGTTTTAGTAATTGATAAACACACACATCCAATATTTGCTTTTACTTTTTATCCTCCTTTACGAGATGAAGAAAAGAATGTCTACAGGATTTTAACAATCAATTTGGTTCAGACCCTGGAGGGACAGGGGAGCTATGAGGAGCAAATTAGGATGCCACAGTATGGGCATCCCTGATCTAAATCCTTTGGCATTTATAATCCCACCCCCACACAATACATCTACGAAGTGGAAAAAGATGACGGCTGAATAAGCCTCAGCTCTAATGGCAGTTACTCCTTTTCTGTAAGTAACAGCTTTTCCATTTTTATTTATTTATTTACTCTCTCATCAACAGAAATCGGTCAAACAAAAGATATTACCTCACTTACCTTCTCTAATATCCTAGGATCAACACAGCTACAACACCCTGGCAAAAAGCAATGGACGTTCTACAAATAGTCAGTTACACTCCTGTTGCTATAGACACCTTTTCTCCTCTAGTGTTTCCAGTCTCCCACCTGCAAGCACCTTATGACAACAACATTAAAAAGCAAGATTGTAAATTTGCATAATTCTAAACGTATTTACATAAATCCAGGCACAAGTATTAAAACTCTCTGTCCTTAAAATTCATGTCTTGAATACCGGGAACCGGACTTGGGGCAAGCTACATCATGAGAGGATTCAGGGAAATATGTGAGTCGCATCGATTTTTAGTGCCACGGTCTCTCAGGGAACCTGCAGGCCAGCACTAGCATGTTGGATGGTTTTTGGCAGTAGGTAGCGGAGAGAAGCAGGAGACTTGGTAGCTCTTCAGGGGCGTACCTAGGAAATAATCTTAAATTAATATTCCTTGCCACGATCTACTCCAAATCCTACACATTACAAGGCGGAATTCAGTCCCCTTTACTGCCCGTGCCTCGGCTCCCAATGTTTACAGATTCATGCACAGGCTTAACTTTAGGCAGGGGAGCAGCGCGGCTAAAATCCCATGCGCGGGAAGTTAAGCACCTCCCCAGGGGTTTGCAGGCTGGCTGGGGGGCCACAGTGGGTGTCTCCTCCCTTCCTCTGTGAGCGGGGCTCTGGCCCCCTGGGAGCGCGAAGACCTCCCGGCACAGCAGCCAAGCGGGCTCTGGGCGGTGGCGGGGAATGGCCGTGCTGGGCTCGCGCGGGGCAGTGGAAGGAGCCAGGCACGCGCTGCGGGGTGCAGGCGCGAGGCAGGGCCCAGCCGGCAGGGACACGCTGTCGGGGTGGGGGAAGAAGGGGCCTAGCCACGTGCAAGGCTCCCTGGTGGGCGCAGGCTGCAGCTCCCGAGCGGGCGGTGACTGACAGCCATGCGTTAGGGAGGCGGGACTTCCGGAGACATACGCCGCTTCCGTCACACGTTCAGACCCCAGAGCTACATCGGCCCACGTGAGCCACCGCCCTGCGCGGGGCTGTTCTTCTCCCACGGCTCCAACATGGCGGCGGTGGGCGGAGACAAGAGCTTTGGAAACCGCTCTGGCCCGGGGTGAAAGGCCGCGGGGCGGGGCGGAAGTGACGACCTCTGCGGGGCGGAAGTGCGGCGGGATGGCGGGGGCGGCTCATATGCGCAGGTCAGTGGCGGCCGGTGGCTGGGGCAGGGGCTTGTCCCGGGCTGTTCCCCTCGGGGTGGCGGGGACGGGGCTGAGTGGGGACAAGCAGCAGGGACAGGTCTCCCTCTCCTCAGGCGGCTCGGATCCGCCCTCGCCCTGGGCCACTGGTGCGTGGGCAGCAGTAAAAACCCCTTCGGGGGTGTATGTCCGTCCGTCCGTCCGTCCGCACTGCGCCCGGGAAGCGTGCGTCAGACAGAGACGGAAAGTTTCTCGTCGTTCCCTGCTAGCAAACCCCCTTGGCTCATTCCGGAGCCGGGTGCCCATTTCCTTACTTCCCTGCCCCCCAGCAGATCGCAGCCAGGGGCCAGCCCTCCCCGCCGCCCCCCACCACCCGGAGACACACACACACGTGCCTAAAAGAACAGGAGGACTTGTGGCACCTTGGAGACTAACCAATTTATTTGAGCATAAGCTTTCGTGAGCTACAGCTCACTTAGCAACCACCCAGAAACACAGCGGGTCGCAGTAATTGTGTGGCAGGAGTGTGGTGGGTGAAAGCCGGCAAAAGCCTGAGAATTAGGGTTATCCATTCAGAGATAAATTGGAGGTGAAACGCGAAGGGAAGGAAAAATTCTAACCCCCTGCCTGGGGACCCTTTGATGGACATAAAAGTGCTAGTGGAGATTATATAGGCATTTTCTGCTCTTACTGAGGAATTAGAGGTTTCAGAGTAACAGCCGTGTTAGTCTGTATTCGCAAAAAGAAAAGGAGTACTTGTGGCACCTTAGAGACTAACCAATTTATTTGAGCATGAGCTTTCGTGCTTTACAGCTCACTTCATCAGCTGTAGCTCACGAAAGCTCATGCTCAAATAAATTGGTTAGTCTCTAAGGTGCCACAAGTACTCCTTTTCTTTTTGAGGAATTAGAGTTGCTTAGGGTATGTCTACACTGCAATTAAAAACCCATAGCGGGTCCCCTGCCAGCTGACTCAAGCTTGTGGGGGTTCTGGCTAAGGAGCTGTTTAATTGTGGTGTAGAAGTTTGGGCTCAGGCTGGAGCCCAACCTATAGGACCCTGCCAGCGCTGAGGGTCCCAGAGTTTGGGCTTGAGCCCATACCACAGATTAACAGCCTCTTAGGCTGAGCCTGAGTCAGCTGGCGTAGGCCCGCAGTGGGTATCTAGTTACAGTGAAGACGTATCCTCAGCTACTGTCTTGAACATATGTTGACCTAAAAGGGACATGTAGTCACAAATGTGAGAAATAAAGCTTGCTAGGACATCAGTTTTGCCCTGACTTATGAACGTATGTTGGAATGTTGTGTATGTTTAGATTTACAACAAATAGTTGAAAAACAGGCACTTATCCTAAATTTTTGGTGCCATGGACAATGTTTTGAAAGCACAACAAACAATTAACCACCCCCTTCCTCCAACCAGCAGCAACCTCCAGCACATGCAGTAGCAATGCATTTGACCATATGGTGAATATCACTATATAATCATAACTAACCTATGTGAGAGTTATTTTGACAAATTATTTTTCAGACCAAGAGCCATTTACTTCTACAGGTTCTAACTTAAGCCTATTTTTATAATCTGTCTCAAAATCCTCACATAGAATGACTTGTATACCAAAACCCCATCAGTGTTGTGTACTCTGAAAAAACTGCTGAGTACTTTAGTTTATTCTAATGTAATCTATTAACAGCAGATCTCTTCCTTTATTTTAACATTTGGCCATCTGCAGTAAGTCTTGAGGCTTCCCTTACCCCAAAGATCCAATTGATAGTGTAGGGGCATGAAGTTTTTCCTAAGGCACTCGCTGTTACCTGGTCCAAATGCAGGTAATAAATATTCTGTGACCGTATACGCCTTGTTTTTTCTTCTGCAGGTGGCCCATTCAGCAGGTCCTCTTCCAGGGTTAGACTGGTTATAGCCCAGGATATTTGGCTATATTGTTGATTACAGGCTACAATTACTACCCCCCATCCTAGAGCTGTTGTGGGTTTTTTTTGTGTGAGTTGCCACAGTCTCTAGGATGAAAAAAGCCTTTCATGAGGGGCAAATGACATAGTACACATTGGTCTAGTAGACAGATAAATAGCTCAGTTAGTCTTTCATTGACATTGATTTAGAGCACTAAGGCTGTGGCCTTCCTTGATCTCTGCACTGCCATGAGGGAGGCCTGCCTGAGTGCAATTCTCTGCCTTTCTCCATTCACTCCCCCACTTCAAGGCCAGCAGGACAGGGCTGGAGGTGTTGTGGGGAGAGTGTGCTCAGCCTCTGGCTGGAGGAAGCACCTTATGTTGCCCTATAGTGATCCCTTTGTCTGATTTAGGAGCTGTGATTGAGGGGCAAGTCCCTTCTGGTCCACTTTGGTGACTAAACTGGTAATCTCCATTGAAAGGAGTTAACAAAGTCATGTTGGGGATGGGGAAAATAAGAGATCTTGGGGTTCAGAGACTCCTCACAGTCAGAGAGGAATTTTCCTACACTCCTGTATGGGGTGCCCTTCCTCATTTATTAGTCACATCTAGGTCAAAGCTGCTGTCTTGCCACTTGCAGGCTGCTTATAGTTTTCCTTCTGTTCACGCTCCTCCAGTATAAGCACAGTTCATCTGGCTCCTAATCAGAAATCACTGTGGGAATGGCTCACATCAAATCAGCGCAATATTTTCAGGCAGATGTCTTAAACTGACTCAGTACCCATCACAATAATTGGGAGGTGAATTTAGGAGTTGCTGGAAGAAATTTTCTAAGTATGGGATGCTCCAGTAATGAAGTTGTATGCTAAACAAAAACCTCTCAAATCAACAACTTTCAATTGTTTTGTATCCAGTGAGAAGAGCAACAGATGGACCTGCTCACTTAACAGACTTTAATGCTGATTTGGGGAAGCTTTGCAACTCTTAGAAACATACCCAATTGCCTCATCATTAGGGCCCTACCAAATTATCAGTCCATTTTGATCAATTTTATGGCCAGAGGATTTTAAAATTGGTCAATTTCATGTTTTCAGATGTTTACATCTGAAATTTCAGGGGTGTTGTAAGGGGGTCCCTTTTCTGGTAGTGGGGATTTGCAGCTAGGAGCTCCCCCAGCAGCAGGGAAAAATCACAAGCTGCCTCCAGCTGCAGGAACCTCTGGGGCTGCTGCCCAGCCCCACAGTTTCCTGCAGCAGGGGAGGCACCTGCAGGTGGGTCTGATCTTCCCTACCCCCAGAGATGTCATGCAAAGGAAGGACAAATCCTGTCCCAGTAGGGACTCACAGCTAGGAGCCCCCTGGCTGGGGTGCTTCCAGCATCAGTGGGAGATCGGACCCATGTCAACAAGCCTCTACCAGAGCTTCCTGCAGCAGAGAGAGGCACTTGGAGATGGATCTGGTCTCCCTCTGAGATGTGTTGTGCAAGGGAAGGACAAGTCCTGTTCCCCCCCCCCCCCCCAGCCTGGTGGGGACTTGCAGCTAGGAGCCCACCTAGGCGCTCCCAGCAGCAAGGGGGTGATCAGATTTCACAGGGAAGGGTTTTTTCATGGTCAATTACACCTTTTTCAGGGCTCTGAAATTGGTAGGGTCCTACTCATCATCTAGGGCAAAGATACATGTATCTACTTTTGGTGACAAATATGGCTTCCACTAGCCCTCCTCCCCACTCACATGCTTGGCGATCCTAACAGAAGAGACAGGGTTCAATGAGTTCAACTCCTGTAACAAAACATGGTTGATCTCCTACACCTGTTCCCATCCCCCCCTCTCACATCTAGTAGAAAACACTGGTCTCCAGGATGTTTATAGACCATTACTTTATATCCACAGTGTTGCTGGGTGTTTTACCAAAAATAATTATAATATTTTTTATATATGGACACCCTTAAGTGTGGCAGATACCTGTGGATTAAGGTTCTTCTTGTAGTGCAGACGGAGGCCTGAGTTGCAAGGCGATTGCGTCCAGTCTTTAAGGCCCTGCTGCACTGGGTTCAGAGCTCCGCTAGCAGCAGTATGGTTATTGCTGGTGATGTTCTAGCATGCTTTTTCTGACAGCTGTGAGAAGGGATTTCTTACTTTCTGTCAGTTGTGCAAGCCAAACTGTACAGCAGTCTTCCTGTAGGTAGTCTGGTAAATGGTCTAGAACAGGGGTGGGCAAACTACAGGCCACATCCGGCCCGCCAGCCATTTTAATCCAGCCCTCGAGCTCCTGCTGGAGAGCAGGGTCTGGAGCTTGCCCCACTCCGGCGCTCCAGCCATGGAGCAAGGTCGGGGGCTGCTCTGCACGGCTCCTGGAAGCAGCGGTATGTCCCTCCTCCAGCTCCTACGCATAGGGAAATCCAGGAGGTTCTGCTCCGCACGCTGCCCCCGCCCCAAGTGCCACCCCTGCAGCTCCTATTGGCTGGGAACCACGGCCAACGGGAGCTGCAGGGGCGGCGCCTGTGGACAGGGCAGCGTGCAGCAGAGCTGCCTGGCCGTGCCTCTGCATAGGAGCTGGAGGAGGGATAATCTGCTGCTTCCAGGAGCTGGTTGAGGTAAGCGCTGCCCAGAGCCTGCATCCCTGAGCCAACCCCCCTCCCATGCCCCAACCCCCTGCCCCAGCACTGATCCCCCTCCTGCCCTCCAAACCCCTCGGTCCCAGCCTGGAGCACCTTCCTGCACCCCAAACCCTCATCCCCATCCCAGAGCCTGCACCCCCAGCCGGAGCCCGTCCCCTCCCCCCCCCGGTGCCCCAACCCCCTGCCCCAGCACTGATCCCCCTCCCGCACCCTGAACTCCTCATTTCTGGCCCCACCCCTGAGCCTGCACCTCCAACCAGAGCCCTCACCCCCTCCCACACCCCAACCCCAATTTTATGAGCATTCATGGTCCGCCATACAATTTCTATTCCCAGTTGTGACTCTCGG